CTTCGGAGGGAAAGGAAGGCGGTTCAATATTGTAGGCCCCTAGAGTGGCGCTGGCAAAGATGGCCACTCCAGAAGAAACGCCTTCGCCCCCAAGGTCATTGAGGCTGGAACGAGACGCACCAGACGGGCCCGTGAAACTCGGTGCCCAAAATGACTTCCAGCCATGATTAAGGGCCCAAGCACTAGCGGCCCCCAGGGACCCTTCGAGAAGCTTGATCTCCTGAGCAAGCAAACCTGCGACCGTGGAAGCTTGTAATTCCCCCAGTCTCTGCTTTATAGTACCCCAAGACGAACCATTGCAGGTCCCCACCAGCATAGTCTCCCCACCATCGCCAATCTCCCACTCAAACTGGCCCTGGTCGAAATCAAAAATGGCTGTCGGAAAACTCTGGCCCGCAATGGCTGAGATCACTTGGGTGCTCGGCGTTGGATGTGCATCCCTCAGCGCCTGGCTCGCACGGTCCTGCAGGCGGTGTAAAAGATTGGCTACCCAGGCGACCTCCTGGCCGCCTCGGCTGCATCGTCATCTGAAAATTCGGCGGCCCCACCTCCAGCGCCACGAGGTGAGCGCGACCCGCGATCACGATCTTGCCCCTCGTCATGCGCTGGAGACTGCCCCTTGCCGCAGCCTGCCCCCGTCCAGCTCCAGGTCCAGGGGCCGCGCGATGTCCTGCTGGCTTCGGCACTGCGGGTTGCTTGGCGACGGTCGGCCTTGGGGGCGGCGATGGCCGCGCTGGCTGCTGCGTCTGAGCCCCTGCCGCCTTGGCGGCCTCCTTCTTTTTAGCCCCCCATGCTGCGCGCTCCTCGCCTGGAAGAAGTGACTCCAGCACATCGAGCTGCTGCTTCTCGAGGCTGGGACCAGGCTCATGATCTTCACGCATTTCACGATTGGCGGCCTCCTCGAACTTGTGGGCCAACTGCTGCGCCGCGGTGACCAGCTGCGCAATCTCGGCGCCTTGAGGGGCCTTGGCAACCAGCGACCCCAAGGAAAGCTTGGACGAGTTGAGGTCGCCAAGATGCGCACGAGCTGTCGTGGCCCATGTCTGAGACTGCTGGTCCCCCTCAGTGTTGAGCTGCTTCTCGGCCTCTTCGAGCCGCTGCTGCAGCTGCTTGCTGTCGTCACGCATAGTCTCAAGAAGTGGTTCCATCTGCCCAATGTACTCGGTGTTCTCATCCAGTTGTTTGCGCAGGTTATCCACTTTGTCTCGAGCTCGCTTGACGCGAACTGTCGCGCGATGAACTTGACTGTGATAAGGCAGGTGTACTGCGGCCTGCTCCTTAAGCTGCGCCAGCTTCTGTTTTGATGCTGCAAGGCACTGCTCATGTCCTGGAACGAGTTCGTCAGTGACGGAGCTGGCGTAGGCGATGTACTTCTCAAGAGGATCAATATGGCTTTGAATCTTATCCGCTGCCACCGTTGTGGCTGCATTCTGCTTGTCGTCATCTCCGTCTCCCTCAGGCTGAAGCGGTGACTCGGATGGAGGGGTGGCGCCTCCATACCGATTGTGGCAGTACTTGAACAGGTCCGACTGGTTCGCTCAAGCTGAAACTTGGGATTGCGACGCGACTCCGGTTCCTCCTTGATCATTCCCCTTGCCCTTCTTCGGAGGCCAACCGTTTGGCGGCTGAAAGTTGGCTCCGCAATGCTTACACTGACGAATGCCAGCATCAATATACACCCAGCTGCGAGGGCAATTCTTGCACCACACCCATTGCCTCGGCCTGCCGCTGACCATGGCTGCGGGTGTGAGATCGGGAAATAAATGGTGATTGAACGCTGAGGCTGCGGCGTCGCAGCTCAAGGGAAAGGAAAGACAAGACGGCCCCCTGGCCTGGGCGCGGCCACCTGTGGGGGCCGTCAAAGAAACTGGTCTCTGCACCACCTTGAGCCAAAATGGCTACGGACCCCTCCCTCTACGAGCCCCGGACCCGAGGGAGCCCGAAACGGGCCCCAGGAGGGCCCCGGCTGGGGCCTCGATCGAGACCACCTCCCCCGCCTTTGATCGATGGCCTCGCAGATGGCCCCAAGAGGCGCCCCAGGGCTCCCAGGAGAGCCCCAGGAGAGCCCCCAGGGAGAGCCCCAACAGGGCCCCGAGAGGGCCCCGAGGCGCGCCCCGCAGCGCGTCGCCGCCGCGGCGAGGCGTCGCGGGCCTGCTGCGGTTCGGGCCCCGCCGGGCCGCGGCGGCGGGCTTTGGCGGCCCGCCGCGCCCGCCGAGGAGGCAGCGGTGCCGCTCCGCTCCGCGGGGCGGGAGGCGGAGAGCAGGCTCGGGCCGTCGACGCTCTGGGGGGCCCGGACGTGCTCGGCGTGTCGCGCCAGAGCGTGGCGGCCCCGAGCTGGCGGCGCGACGCGGTGGGCAAACTCCCTAAGGGCTTGTCGACTTTTCGCCAATCGGCTTGTGAGAATCGAGCCAGATAAACCCAGGTAAATGCAGATAAATCGAGGTAAATCCAGGTAAATCTAGATAAATCTGGGTAAATCCAGGTAAATCCAGGTAAATCTAGATAAATCTGGGTAAATCCAGGTAAATCCAGAGATCTCTAGGGAAAGTTCGAGCACTTCGCGGCCGCTCCAGCGCGAGTCGAAGGACGGCAGAAGTCGTTAAGCCTTTAACGACAAACGCTCCTGACAGTACGCCGTGCGTGTGGCAGTGCAGTCGTGAGCTCCGGCGGGGATGTTGCCATCAGGCATGCTGGAGAAGGGGCGAAGTCCCCTCTGGCGGCGCGACGCGGTGGGCAGACGCTCCTGCCAGTACGCCGTGCGTGTGGCAGTGCAGTCGTGAGCTCCGGCGGGGCTGCTGCCATCAGGCATGCTGGACCCCGAAGAAGCGCACGGGTGCAAGAACAGCGCTGAGAAACAGCGAACCCCATACCGTGCCGGAACTGTTCGTTTATTCAGCGACTTTGCTGCAACACCAAGCATGGGTCTGCATGCTGCTCGCGGCTTTCCGCAAACACACGGCAACGAAGAAGTGGCATCTGAGCACAGCGAAGGCGGTGAGGACGCTCCACGGCGGGGGCGGCGGGAAGGACCACGCAAGGCACCAGTGTCGGACGAGACAACATGCAAGTGGGGAGCCCAAGAGACATCATGAGGCGGGCTCCTAAGTGCGCATTCCCCCCAGGTGCCAACCATCAATCGGCCAACGCGCCTTCAGTCACAGCCTGCTCGCCTCCGCCCTGGTGCGTGCGCAGATATGGCGCGCCTCCTTGTAGTGTGCGCGGACGGTTTGGTCACCACAAAGTGCAGGACCCCTCCTCCTCCTCCTCCTCCTCCTCCTCCTCCTCGCCCTCTTCCTCCTCGTCCACCATTTCCTTCTCATCATCTTCTTCCTCCTCCTCCAGCGACAGCGGCGACATGGAGGACGGAGGAGGCCATAGGAACTAGAGAGTCGGGGATGATGGGCTGGACGAGGAGGGGGAGAGGGAGGTGGGAGAGGAGAGAGCAAGCATCAAGCATAGCGAGGGAGGAGCAGGAGGACCACCAGTCACCTCCTCATTAACGAAGGGTGACGATTTATATAAGAATAAAGGGATGGAATAACAAAAATGTTTCTTTGATTTCAATATAATTCTTCAACGCGGGGAGGACGGATTTAAACAATTGCACGTCGGCTTCGAATCTTGCGTCGAACACTACTTTCACATCGTCGTCAAATTTTACGTAAAAAATCAGTCGACGCCGACTTCAATTTTTACGCCAAGTACCAATCCTACGTCGGCGTCAAGCTTTTACGTCAGATACTCGCTCCACGACAACAACAGACATTCTGTCTAATGCTCATTTGACGTCGGGTTCACATACTACGTCGGACACACCATCCACGCCGGATTTTAATGTTACCATAAAACTTGATTTCACGTCGGCGTCATAGTTTACGTAAGCCGACCATTCTACGTAAACCGACCATTCTTCGTCGGCAGGGTCAGAACGATTAAAACATAGTTTCCCAGTCCTAGGCAGATTTTTTGTAATCATCCCCTGGGGCGCCGCCGACGCAACACGACCCCCGGTCATATATTAATCGTCATCCTACATTACCTACAGGACGAGATCCACACACAAACCGTTTGACAAAAAACGTTGGGATGATTACCAACATTCTCAACTGGAACGTGCCAACCTGCGTTGAGCGCTCTGCAAATTCAGCTCTGACACTACCGTCCGCCCCGTGCTGACGCTGGTCTCGCGCCGTGTGCAACGCGGACGAACTATGCGCTGTTTTCTTGGTGGGTCACTACGTTGTTGCGCGCGCGTTATCCACCCTGCCCGCACGCGCGCCACGCGTTTCGCTCGCAGCGGAGGCGCGCCAATCCCGCCGCGCGCCATGCGCGCGCGCGAATGCATCAGCGCGAGCGCGTGGAATCCCATCGCGGGCGCGAGCTTTCTGGGCGCGCGGGGTCAAGATCCCTTATGACTTCACAATGAGAGCGGCGCTTATGATGTTTTGCTGCGCGTCTTACAAAAACATGTTGTCGTCTCCACTCCGGGTTGTGCCGCGGCTCTGCGCCGCCAGCGGATTGTGTCGTCCTTTGCCTTCGTTTTTCGTTGGCAGTTGTCGTTGTCGTAGGCATTGTTTTTTGTCGGCGTCGTTTTGTTGCCGTCGGCCCTATTTTGTCGTCGAAGTGATTTTGTATTTTTCTCTGTTTGGTGTTCCTCACGGTCGGAGTAGGAGTTTTACTCGGGGTCTTCACCATGTTTAGGGTCCTCCGAGGTCAGATCCATCTTCCATGCCTTTCACGTTTCGCACGTCCCCATCACACCGTCTGGAAACGATACCCAGGCGTTGCTCGTGGAAGTTCGATTGTTGGTCCTCGCCCGCCCCCTCAAGAGACCTCAACACTAACAGCGCTTGATACGCGTGAAGGCTGCCGCGGCTTCATTCATGGAAAAACACACATGAACGTGATCAAAAATCGTTCGTCGTTCGTCGTTTTGTGGTCCTGTGGAATCGGAGGGAGTGGCGCGAGCCTCACGCGGCTGCACGGCTACGTGGCTGCACGGTCCCCCGTGACGCTGCTGACGGCGATGGCGGCCATGGCGACGATGCCGACGTTGACCGCCAGCGCGCCGTTGTGGCCCGTGCGCGGGCACGCCCGCGGGGCACCGTCGTGCTCGCCCGCCGCTCACCCGCCGAAGCGGAAGCCCGGGGGCAGGAGCTGGATGTCCGAGTTGTCCTGAGGAGGAGGGGAGCGCCGATGATGACGACGACGACGATGACGTCATCGTCATCGTCATCGTCATCGTCATCGTCATCGTCGTCGTCGTTGCCGTCGCCGTCGTTGCCGTCGCCGTCGCCGTCGTCGTCGTCGTCGACGTCGTCTTCGTCAGCGTAGCGGTCGTCGTCGTCGTCTTCGTCGTCCGCGTCGTCGTCGTCGTCACCACCACCATGGAATCTCCACAGCCCCCCTTATCGGGCACAACCCGAACGGGCGTGGCCACCCCAACGTGGCTCAACGAAGGTCTTGGCCCTTCGCCCGGGCGCGTGGAGGGTCGGCGGCGATGGATCTATACTGCCTCTATCCCGCAGGTCCGAGGTGGAGTGCGTGGCCGTCATCAGGGGCGACCTCAGAGCGAGCGCGTCGATCCTGGGCACAACGGGGGTGGGGATGGAGAGAGGGGGGAGAGCCCTAAAAAAGGCTTAGAAAACGGAGAAGGCTTAGACAACGGAGAAGGCTTAGCAACTTCTCAGAAGGCGGGGGGCCTTCCGAGCCTTCTGACAAGGCCCGCCCCCTCTGCATTCACCCCTGGGCTTGCCGCCGATCAGCAGGCAGGCGCGAAGGGTCCGCATCCATCCTGTCACTGCAGCGGCCTTGCAGAGTGCTGCAGCGGATTTTTGCATGTGTTTCTGTCACTTTTAAGACCCGAAGAGGCGAGCGAAAAATTAGCCTGGCGAAGGACCCAACCATACGCAGTTGTGAATACCGCAAGTGTGAATACCATCTTCACCCGCGCTCCCTATGTAGCCACGGCTCCCCCCCGGGGCCCGACATGCTCAGGGACACGTTCGTGGCCGTCTTCGCGGGCGCCGACGACGACGAGGACGGCGTCCCCCTGACCGAAGAGCAGAAGCAGGAGAGGGTTCTGAGAGCCATGAAGGATGCTGCCACGGGCGACATCGGTGGGGCTCCCATGGGGCCACGATCCTCGTGAGGGGTGTGCCGTAATGGCCCAAGGCCGCCATGCGAACCCTGACACTGGGGCTTTCGGTGGAGCTCCCTATGGGGCCACGAAACGTGTGAGGGGTGTACAGACATGGGGCAACACCGACATGCCGAACCTGCCGCTGCGGCATTCGGTGGTGCCGCCTCAGACCACGAAACGTGCGAGGGGTGTGCCGAACTGGAGGGTGGAACCGCATGCGAACGCAGCCACTGGGGCCTTCGGTGGAGTTCCCTGTGGGGCCACGAAACGTGTGAGGGGTTTGCCGACATGGGGGGTGGAACCGCATGCGAACGCAGCCACTGGGGCCTTCGGTGGAGCTCCCTATGGGGCCACGAAGCGTGTGAGGGGTGTGCCGACATGGGGGGTGGAACCGCATGCGAACGCAGCCACTGGGGCCTTCCGTGGAGCTCCCTATGGGGCCACGAAGCGTGTGAGGGGTGTGCCGACATGGGGGGTGGAACCGCATGCGCCGCAAAAGCGAACGCAGCCACTGGGACCTTTGGTGGAGCTCCCTATGGGGCCACGAAACGTGTGAGGGGTGTGCCGACATGGGGGGTGGAACTGCATGCGCCGCAAAAGCGAACGCAGCCACTGGAGCCGTCGGTGGAGCTCCCTATGGGGCCACGAAACGTGTGAGGGGTGTGCCGACATGGGGGGTGGAACTGCATGCGCCGCAAAAGCGAACGCAGCCACTGGGACCTTTGGTGGAGCTCCCTATGGGGCCACGAAACGTGTGAGGGGTGTGCCGAAATGGGGGGTGGAACCGCATGCGCCGCAAAAGCGAACGCAGCCACTGGGGCCTTCGGTGGAGCTCCCTATGGGGCCACGAAACGTGTGAGGGGTGTGCCGACATGGGGGGTGGAACCGCATGCGCCGCAAAAGCGAACGCAGCCACTGGGGCCGTCGGTGGAGCTCCCTATGGGGCCACGAAACGTGTGAGGGGTGTGCCGACATGGGGGGTGGAACTGCATGTGCCGCAAAAGCGAACGCAGCCACTGGGACCTTCGGTGGAGCTCCCTATGGGGCCACGAAACGTGTGAGGGGTGTGCCGACATGGGGGGTGGAACCGCATGCGCCGCAAAAGCGAACGCAGCCACCGGGGCCTTCGGTGGAGCTCCCTACGGGGCCACGAAACGTGTGAGGGGTGTGCCGAAATGGGGAGTGGAACCGCATGCGCCGCAAAAGCGAACGCAGCCACTGGGGCCGTCGGTGGAGCTCCCAATGGGGCAACGAAACGTGTGAAGGGTGTACCGAAATGGGTGTGGGAGGGGGAGGAGGGGGGAGGAGGGAGGGAGGAAGGAGGCGGAAACGCGGGGCACCGTCTCTTCAAAACGAGGACCCAACACCACAGGATGGTTGGGAACTAAGTTAATTCCGCGTGGCTTTGTTTGAGTCTTCATTCCTGGCCAAACAAAAAAACGTCCGAAATTCACGTCGAAATCCAGAACGAAAATCTCCACGACCAGCCAGGCCAATCCAATTCTTCTCCGAGCGAAATCCGCTCTGCGATTTTGGCGCCACGAGTCCTGTCGTACACCCGCGCCAGGGCAGAATCGATCTGCTCGTCCAGCGGGAAGAGGTGCCGCAGCAGGCTTCGCGCCCCGGGGGGGCGAACGGCCGCGCCGAAGAGGCCGAAGATCTGCAGCGGGACGCTGAAGACTGTCCCTGCGGGGCCCTCCAGCGACCTGACCGTGCAGTCGTCGTCGTAGTAGCCGACGGTGGAAGAAGAGAGAGCTGCAAAAACAGGTGTGATCGTGAACGTTTTCTCATTCGGCGTTTCGACACTGGGCGGAAGGGGGGGGCTGGCTCTGGACCTCTGCTTGGTGCCACTGTCTCTGTCTGCTCGGTGCGGCCTATGGGAGAGACTCCACCTGCTCGAGACAGGCGCCCAAAACAGCCAAGATCTGCTCCACAGGGGGGGGGGAGGAGGCCCGCGCCGATCGGCAAAACAATGCATCCGAAAACTATCACATTGCCAGCGTGGACCTCAAGCAGTGCACTACCATGCTGCGGATGTACGGGCTGTGTGGTGCAATCTGCGTGGTGCAAGCGGCGGCGGCGGCCGACGGGAACGGGAACGGAACAGCTGGGCCCGCGGACGGGCCCAGCTCCTTAGAAGGGGAACGAGCTGCCCTGACTGCAGGCACTGTCTGGGAAACGTTCGGCGTTGCATTGGGCCCCCTCCTGGCGGAGCCTCCGGCGCCGGCCGTGGCGCGCTCCGCGCGCCAGGGAGGGGGTCCCCGCGCCGATGAACATACACGTGTGGGCCTCCAGAAGGTTCTGTTGCTGCCGCTTGCTCTTCTTCGGGATGTGCAGGAAATCCCAGCCAGGGCGCTCGCGAGCCAGCACGCCCAGAGCCTCGTCCAGGCGCTGGCAGAAGTCCTCTGCCAGCACCGCATCGTCCTCGGCGATCACGTAGACGTGCTGGTCGTCGTCGTCGGCTGCGATCCGCTTGAGGATGGTATGGTATGAGAGGATGAGGCCGAGCGCTCCTGGCGTGAGCTCCACGCCATTGACCACCGCCGGCGGTGATCTGGCTCTCCGGATGCCTCCCTCCGTCACCGCGGAGCGGGGGTACCTGTCGAAATCGATGGACCTGCCGTCGACCGCTGGGAAGCGCGACGCGACGCCGTCGAGCCCCAGCGCCTGGGCCCGCCGCTCGAAGCGCACGCGCCGCTCCGGCCGGCGGTCCAGGTTTACGCACCAGCCGGCCGAAGTCCAGGGGCAGCCGGCGGGGAGCCCCAGGCAAGGAAGGCAGAGCCCGGGGCCCAGCACCGGGAGGAAGGGCCGCGGGCCCAAGGACGGCACCCGCAAACGTCACGGACATGTTAGGCTGAAGGAGCCGTGTCGTTGCAGGTCTCGCGTCGTGGAAGGTCCGCGCCAGATCCCCGATGCGGGGGGGCCCCCAATAGCGCACGGAAGCCGTCCTGGCAACGGCCCAAGCCCTGCCCTGCCCTGCCCTGTCCACCCGAAGAACGAGAAGCCAGGCACGACCTGGATTAGGGGCAGACTTGACGTCGAATGTGGTCCTCTGGGGTGAAAAGATGCGTCGCACCATGATAAAGAAACGCTGGAACTCGAACCATGACATGGCGATGCATATCACGGCACTGTCCCCGCACTATGCGATAGCATCGGAACGTTGCACCACATGGCATTGCATGGCCGTGCCCACCATAGCACGGCAAAGCAAAGCTCGGGCATCGTATAACACGGCCGTGCGCACGATAACATAGCGTCGCGTACCATTGCGCCGCAGATCATAACATGATATGGCGCAGTACGGCATTGTATGGCGTTGCTCCCCATGACACTGACTACTCTCCGCCACCATGCCTCCTGGCACGTTTAGGCGTGGCAGAATGCCAAGTGCTGTCTGATAGGATATACGCAAGTCTTCTGAGGACCCTCCCTTCTCCCAACGCTCAGCCGCATAAATCTCTCTCCACCCCCGCTCCCGAGGCCCCATGGGCGGTCCAGCGCCTCCCTAGGGCTCTCCTGAGCTGTCTAAGGCTCCGACCAGGAAGGCCACCAAGGACGCCAGGATGGCCACAGCGTTGCTTGAATGCGAGCCCAAGGGACCCTAAGAAGCGTCCAGTAGGTCCAAAGAGGCTTCCAACAGACCTCAATACACCCTCACCAGGCTCCCCAGGAGTCCCTCGAAGGGCCAACCATGGATGGTCCCAGTTTTGAGCGTTTATTGCTGTCCACGCTGTTCGGTCGAAGATTGGTACACATGCGGTCTTTGAGGGCCCAGCGTGATTCACTGAGCACCCCACGATGTTCCTAAGTCCGCCGGGGACTGTCATAATGATTTAGAGCTTCCTGGATCGAAAATACATGTTGGTGATATTAAGACAACTACGATACTTAGCACATGCGCTACGCTGCAAAAACGTATTAAGATACGAAATACGAGTACGAGTACCGTGTAATAGGTTTGCCTGGACTTGACCCACTGCAAGTTGGTTCGTTAGACGCTACGCGAGCTGTAAAAAGGATGTGTAACAACTTCTTAAACGAATGCAAAAGCTGTAACGATATATTGCGACAGTGGTTACCTCAGTCCTGCAACATGGTATCCTCAAATACAGAAGACTGTTGATCCGTGGGTACAGACTAAAACTAGCAAGATCATGCTACGGTATTTCTGAACATACTGCAATGTATTGTCAGGTCGTCAAAGTACACGTTTCTGCACAGGTGTATTAGCCGTTTCGCATTAGAAGCACTAGCTACTTGTTGAGGACTAGTACTCTAATTACATAAACACTGGTGAGACCTCAATGGTACAACGATGCTGTTGTTTCGACTGGTGAGAAGGATGGGAGACACACGGAACCAATGTAGCTTAACGATGTGCATTGCGACTTTTCCAAAACACTGCTTGCACTGAAGGGGTCCCTGCTTCTTTTATGAAAAACTGGACCGTGTCTTGGGTCTGCCCGTTATGTGGTCGCCGTCGCCGCTCCGTCGCCGTCGTCGCCGGCCGTCGTCTGGGCCGTGTCTCCGGTGTGGCGGCTATCTGGTCGCCGTCGTCGCCCCGTCGCCGCCTCGTCGCCACCCGTCGTCTGGGCCGTGTCTTCGGTATGGTGGCTGTGTGGTCGCCGTCGCCGCCCCGTCGCCGCCTCGCCGCCGCCGATGGATTCTCCTTTCTAAAAGACTAATAGATTCTACCCCCCCCCCCCCCAGACGTATCGGTTACCCCGCGCGTGCTGTAAATTACATATGATTCTGACCACATGTCCATCCTAAATTTGAGTTCATACCATCCCAGCCAAGCCAGTATCCCCCCCCCTGCGGTTCCCTTGAAAAAAAAACTATGCGGGGACATTTTCTTTCTAACATAGCACTTTTTCACTAATCCCTTGCAAAAAATGGGACGAAGTGCACGCGCGCGCGTCGTGGCGCGCGCATGCCGATATCCTTCAAAAACCTTCGGTTCCGGAGAGATTTCAAAATTGAATTTCAAAAAAACATATAAAAACACATGGTTTCGCAACACTGATTTGCTAAAAAAAACTTACGCGCGAGCTCTTGCGAAATCTTAAGAAAACCATGGGTTTTCCAAGATTTTCACAAAATGCTACCAAACGGGCTTCGCGCGCGCGCATGTCGAAATCTGTCGAACGCCCTTGCGCGTGTGCCGTCGCGAGAATCCTCTGCAAAAAATGGGACGAAGTGCAGACGCGCGCGTCGTCGCGGGCGTATGCCGAAATCCTTCAAAAACCTTCGGTTTCGGAAGGATTTCGAAATCGTGCGTCCAAAAAACCTACAAAAACACAAGGTTTCGCAACACGGGTTTTCAACAAAATTGTGCGCGCGCGCTCTTGCGTCGTCGTCGTCGTCGTCGTCCTCCCTCCTCCCTCGTCGTCGTCGTCGTCGTCGCCGTCGTCGTCTTCTGTCTTTCCTCGTCGTCGTTGTCGTCGTTTGGCGTCGTCGTCGTTTCCGTCGTCGTTGTCGCCGTGGTCGTCCTTCCTCCCTCGTTGTCTTCGTCGGCGTCTCGTCGTTGTCCCTCCTATTTCGTCGCCGTCGTCGTCGTCGTCGTCGTCGTGGTCTTCACTCCTCCCTCGTCGTTATCCTCCTCCCTCGTCGTCGTCGTCCGTCGTCGGCGTCTCGTCGTCGTCCCTCCTATTTCGTCGCCGTCGTCGTCGTTTCGTCGTCGTTGTCATCGTCGTCGTCTTCCCTCCCTCGTCGTTGTCGTCGTCGGCGTCGCCGTCCTTCCTCCTTCTTCGTCGTTGGCGTCGTCGCCGTCTTCCCTCCTCCATCGTCGTTGTCGTCGTTGTCGCCGTCGTCGTTTTTTCTCCTCCCTCGTCGTCGTCTCCGTTGGCGACGTCGTCGTCGTCTTCGTCGTCGTCGTCGGCGTCGTTGTCGTCGTCGTCGGTGTCGTCGTCGTCATTGTCGTCGTCAAAAACATCGGAGACGTCGTCGGTGTCGTCGCAGTCGCTGTCGGCGGCGCCGTCGTCGTCGATGTCGCTGTCGTCGTCGGCATCGGTGTCGTGGCCAAGTGCCATGCAGTACCTGCCGTCACGGTCTTGTCTGAAGATGTCTTGCGACCAAGTTGCGGGTGGGAGGGTGGGATGTTTGCAAGAGCAGTGGAGAGGACAGCTTCAAGACGGTCAAGATTAGTTGCACCACGTAGAATGCACGCAGAAAACGCGCCTGCGGCGCCCTTTCAGAACGTTCGAAACGAAGATTGCACCACAGATATTGCACAACATGAACTTCACCGCGTAGGTTGCGCAACCACATATGTTGCACGACATAGAGATTGCACACCCGAAATTGCACTGCAGAGATTGCACCGAACATGTGCACAACGTGCATTCACTCTTCTTCTAAAGAAATTCGATTACATCCCCATCCCACCCGGACTTATCGCTTGTTGGTTTCGCTTACGAATTCATACGTGATCCTCGGCTGGCAGCCGCACCGGGACAACGGCTCCCCCCCAAGCGCAGAGCAAGAACCCCCGGGGCAGGGGGGGCACAGTGCTTGGCATGCAGCGGGCGGGTCGCGAGGGAAACGGGACCAGCTTTCATCCTGAGATGTTTTTCGAATGACCCGGAGCCCCAAGAGAGACCCCTGGGGGCCGAAAGCGAGAGAGCAACCTCAGGACCCCTTTCCTTCACGGCGAGCCCTGCCTCCGAGGGCGCCCCTGGAACTTTCGGCCAGCCAGGCTATAGAAGAGGCGGTGCAACGGCGCCTCCTCGGGAGAAACAAGAAGAAGATACCGATACCGCTGCCCCCCAGACCTGTCCCGGGGTGTCTCCCGACCAAAACCTCGAAGCGAATCCGATCGTGGCGACGGGAGATCCCCTGGGCGAGCAGCAGTACCTGTCGAGATTGATTGGAGAGTACACGCGAGAGAACACAAGACCCTTCCGAGGGCAACCGTTGCCACATGAATGCAGAAGGCATAGGTCGTTAAACACATACGTGGCGACATCCGAACCACCCTACCCCCACCAACCATAAGTTCTCCTTTTATCGACAGGAGGCGGGGGTAGGGTTTGAGTTTCGCCGCGCGTTCGACGAATTCCGAACCCTACCTCCGCCGCCCATCGAAACGCCTGAATCCTTGATCGGCCAAGGTAGGGTTCGGGCTTCGACGCCGAACACAGGACAAAGTTGGGGGCCTGGGAAGGGGCACCGACACCAGCGCAGGGGGTTGCCTCCACCAGGGGAAGAAGATCCTGGATTTTGGTGCTGGTGGTAGCTTCTCGGCCACCTGATAAACCCCAACATTACCACCATCACGGAGATCCCCCCCAAGTGAAAGCAACCGCCGATGCTGGCGTCGGTGTCAACCTCTAGGCCTCTGACACAAGGGTTCCCGTGGCAGATCAAACTCGACTGTATCTCCCTCCTCTGCTCCTCGCCCCCCCGCAGCCGCGCA